AAATACTTTTTGGGGATTGAGATAGCACAATCCAACGATAGAATTGTGATGTCTCAAAGGAAGTATGCATTGAATATTTTAAAAGAGACTGAGCTTATGAATTCCAAGCACCTTGACACACCTATGGGTCCCAATGCTAAACTTTTATCGAATCAACAGGAGCCAATTTCAAATCCTAAGAGGTATATGTTAGATATTGTTTAGATATTATTTGATATTGTTAAGATATTGTTAGATATTGGTAACCACAATATCAAACAATATCTTCTGTTTATTCTGTTATTTTCAGTTACTTTTTTAGTTGTATCTCTCTACTATAAAATAGACCACCCTATGTGTGATTTATACACAAGGGAAATTAATTTCAAACCCTATTTTCTCTATATTCAACATGGCATCTAGAGCTTAAGGTTATCTTGAATTTATTTATTTTTTCCGCCTTTTGTCCACTGTTGGAGCCACCCCACCGCTGCTGGTAAACTAATCCTCCACATCAGAAAAGAATTATCTTTGTCATTGAATTTTATTTGGTAGTGTGAAAGTGCATGTTTAGGAAAGTTCTGACAAGGAAAGACTTGGTATTTAAGTGTGTCCATTAGTGACCCACCTCTCTTTCCTGGGAACTTACCTGGTGTACTAGTTCACGTTATCATCACCGCTGCTGCTGGAGCGATCCACGGTCCGCGCATCGTCGGAGAATTCGCCGGAGTTTCATTTTTTTTACCGGTGACATATGATTTTGCTTGTCTCGGTCAGGTGACCACCGTGCCATTGAGATCACCACTATCGGAGTTGGTCGTCCCATTGTCTCCTGCACCGTTTAGTCTTGGTGAACTTATTTTTAGTATTCTCATTTTGGATTTGTGCTTCGTGGGTTAATTGGATTACTTTGGATTGTTTTAGGGTTTGTTCTCCCGCTCTTCATGACTTCTTCCACTATTTCCAATTTTGTTAACGATTCTTTTGTGTTGACATCCCATCGTGATGACCAGGCTCGCCCTCGCAAACAAGAAAAAGGACGTCCTAAGTGTGAACATTGTGGCAAGCTAGGTCACAAGATTAACAAGTGTTATACATTACATGGTCGTCCTCCTCAGTCTGTTGTAGTTGTTCAGACAAATCTTTCCCCACCTTTATCTGCAGGGGATCTTCCTTCTTCTGTTGCATCCGACATGTCTGCTATGTTCAACAAATTTCTCGAAAGGTATAAGGATCAACAGTCTTCTAGTTCCACTATATGTGTCACACATACAAATACATATTTTGCTGGTCTGACCCAATCATTTTCTCCTGGTCCATGGGTTTTTGATTCAGGAGCCACTGATCATATTACTGGTAACAAATCTTTGTTCTCCTCTTTATCCTCTCCTAATCATTTACCTTCTGTTACACTGGCTGATGGCTCTAGAGTATCATCTCATGATGTTGGAACGGTTAAACTTTTTCCTTCTTTAACCATTGATAATGTTCTTTATGTCCCTGGGTCTCCTTTTAACCTGTTGTCCATCAGTCGTCTAACTCGTTCTCTTGATTGTGTTGTTACTTTTACCAACAATTATGTGTGTTTACAGGACCGGAGTTCGAAACAGGTGATTGACACAGGATGTGAGTCTCATGGTCTTTATTATCTCCGTCCCTCTACACATGTTAGTACAGTTATGGAGTCTCCCTCTCTTCTTCATGCTCAGTTAGGTCATCCAAGTCTTGCCAAGTTACAGAAACTTGTCCCTGCCTTGTCCAACTTATCTAGTTTGGCGTGTGAGTCATGTCAATTAGGCAAGCATAGTCGTACTTCCTTTCCTCGTAGTTTCACACGTGGTGCTTCGTCCGCTTTTGCCGTGGTTCACTTTGACATTTGGGGACCTAGCCGCGTTAAGTCTACTTTAGGTTTTCAATACTTTGTTACTTTCATTGATGATTATTCCAGATGCACTCGATTATTTTTGATGAAAAATCGTTCTGAATTATTTCATATCTTTTAAACTTTTTTTAATGAAATTCAAACTCAGTTCGGTGTTTCTATTAGAGTTTTGCTTAGTGATAATGACCGTGAATATCTTTCTCATTCTTTTAAACAATTCATGGCTTCTCACGGTATTTTGCATCAAACTTCTTGTGCTTATACACCTCAACAAAATGGTGTAGCTGAACGTAAAAATAGACATCTTATTGAAACAACTCGCATACTTTTAATTCATGGAGATGTTCCTCAACATTTTTGGGGTGATGCTCTTCTTATTGCATGTTATCTCATTAATCGCATGCCTTCTTCGGTTTTAGATAATAAAATACCTCATTCCATTTTATTCCCTCATGAACCACTTCATTCTTTACCTCTAAAAGCTTTCGGGTCTACATGTTTTGTTCATAATTTCAGTTCTGGTCTGGACAAACTTTCTCCTAGATCACATAAATATGTTTTCTTAGGGTTTACAAGATCACAAAAAGGATACAAATGTTTTTCTCCTTCTCTTAACCGTTATTTTGTGTCAAAAGATGTCACCTTTGATGAGTTGTCTCTTTATTTTAAAAGTCAAACTTAACCTCTGTCTCCATCCAATCTTGTCAACACTCCTAATACATTTAATGTTTCTGTTGTTTGTGACCCTCTAACTGTGTTTTCTTCACCATTAGTTCCTGCTCCGCAGTCAGCTTCTTCTCCACTGCCTCTTCAGATTTATAGTTCTCGAAACCAATCACAACCACCACCATGTTACTCTACTGAAGTGCCAACTACTCTGTCTCCTCCGGATCTGACACATGAGTCTGACATTCCCATTGCCTTCCGAAAAGGTATTCGTTCTACACATAATCCCTCTCCCCATTATATTGCTTTGAGTTATCATCGACTGTCATTACCTTTTTATACATGTCTTTCCTCTATTTCTTCCGTGACCATTCCAAAATCGTCCAGTGAAGCTTTAGCCCATCTTGGTTGGCGACAGGCCATGTTAGATGAACTAAGTGCTCTTCATAATAGTGGAACTTGGGAATTGGTCCCGTTACCGTCTGGGAAATTCGTTGTTGGTTGCAGGTGGGTGTTTGCTATCAAAGTTGGACCTGATGGTACTATTGATCGCCTCAAAGCTCGTCTTGTGGCCAAAGGTTATACTCAAATTTTTGGGTTGGATTATGGAGATACCTTTTCCCCTGTGGCAAAGATGACTTCTATTCGTTTATTTATCGCCATGGCTGCTCTTCAACAATGGCCTCTTTATCAACTGGATGTTAAAAATGCTTTCCTCAATGGTGATTTGCAAGAAGAAATATATATGGAGCAACCTCCTGGGTTTGTTGCTCAGGGGGAGTCTTCTGGGATGGTATGTCGTCTTCGCAAATCCCTATATGGCCTAAAACAGTCTCCTAGGGCTTGGTTTGGAAAGTTTAGCAAGGTTGTTCAACAATTTGGTATGACTCGGTGTGAATCAGATCATTCTGACTCGAGTGCTGGATGTGTTTACTTGATAGTATATGTTGATGACATTGTTCTTACAGGTAGTGACAACCATGGCATCTCTCAGTTGAAACAACATCTCTGTCACCATTTTTCAGACCAAAGATCTTGGCAAACTTAGATATTTCTTAGGTATTGAGGTGGCACAGTCCAATGATGGTATTGTTATATCTCAGAGGAAGTATGCCATAGATATTTTGGAGGAAACTGGGTTGATGAGTTCAAAGTCTGTTGATACACCCATGGATCCCAATACTAAACTTCTACCAAATCGGGGGAGCCTATATCTGATCCTGAGCAAGTATAGAAGATTGGTTGGAAAATTGAATTATCTTACGAGTTACTCGTCCCGACATTTCCTTTGCGATCAAGTGTGGTAAGTCAATTTCTTAATTCACCATGTGAAGATCATTGGAATACGAGTCATTCGTATCTTGAAGTATATTAAAGGATCTCCTGGAAAAGGATTGTTATATGGTTTTAATAACCATACAAGAGTTGTTTGCTACTCGGATGTCGATTGGGCAGGATCTCCTTCGGATAGAAGATCTACATCTCGGATATTGTGTCTCCATTGGTGGTAACTTGATCTCATGGAAAAGTAAGAAACAAAGTGTTGTGGCAAGATCCAGTGCGAGGCAGAATATAGAGCTATGGCCTCGGCTTCCTGTGAACTTGTTTGGCTCAAACAATTGCTTAGAGAGTTACAATTTGGAGATGTCACTCAAATGACACTTGTGTGTGACAATCAGTCTGCTTCTTCATATTAGTTCTAATCCTGTCTTTCATGAGAGGACCAAACACATTGAGATTGACTGTCATTTTATTCGAGAAAAGATTATGTCTAGAGATATCAAGACTGAGTTTGTTAACTCAAGTGATCAGTTAGCAGATATTTTTACTAAATCTTTACGGGGTCCTAGAATTGATTATATTTGTAACAAGCTTGGCACATACGATTTGTATGCTCCAGCTTGAGGGGGAGTGTTAGATATTGTTTAGATATTATTTGATATTGTTAAGATATTGGTAACCACAATATCAAACAATATCTTCTGTTTATTCTGTTACATTCAGTTACTCTTTTAGTTGTATCTCTCTACTATAAATAGACCACCCTATGTGTGATTTATACACAAGGGAAATTAATTCCAAACCCTATTTTCTCTATATTCAACAGTATAAATGATTAGTTGGAAAACTAAACTACTTCAAGGTCACTCATCCTAACACTTCAAGGATTCAATTACATGGCTCTACCATTTAATTCGACACTTTAATGCTTAGGTTACTCAAGAGTAATGATTTTTCCCTCAATCTAATTTGGTGAGATCCCCCCCCCCCGAACTCAATCCTTCTCTTTTTTATGGGCAATGTGCCTTATTCTATAGTTATTTTTCACCCATGTGCTAATATAACTATCAAATGGCCAACCAACTAACCTATTGTAACAAACAACTACTAATGCAGATTACCTAAAATGAAGGTAATCCTATGTAGCCTTACAACAGTTAATTATTCACAATTTAAATACATGGTCTCCAAGTCACAAAGCAACAACTTCACTATTGTTGTTCCAAGTCCCACCCTCCCTAATAACATTTACACAACAACAAAAAATGTAAAAGACAAAACTGAAACATACCTGGATTTTAATAAGATTTAATTTAAGACTTTAATGGGAAGAAGTAATCAATAAGTTCATTGACTGTAATAGCAAAATAAATAGAATTAGAAGTCACGAGTTGCATTTTCATACCGAGTCCAGCAAGAGGTTCATCCAATATCAATAGATCAGGGGTTTGCACCTGAAAAGTATGTTTAGAAAAACCATTAACCATATGCCAATTCATGCTTAATTGATTGACATTCATCCATCAACTTCTGAGGAGCAAGTCAGGTTAAAGCATGAAGCAATAACAAGCAGGAATTTAGAAAAAAAAAAAAATCTTACTAATTGTATTGCCAAGGCAAGCCGACGTTTGTAACCACCACTGAGGGAGTGAGGATTTTTATCCAATGATATCCCACTTAATCCAACCTATAGTAACAAACAAGAAAGAGCATTTCACATGAAATATACATACACATTAGTGACAAAGAAAGTCTTAAATCACATATTAAATTAAATAAACATTGAAAAGACAGTGAAAATAAGATGATGTTACATATATATATTATAAGAATACACTTGGTGGTATACAAAGGCATAACTACCCAGTTAATTGCCCTCTGTAGCCCTAGAGCAAGATTCTCCCTCAGATGATGGTTGCCCTTTTGCCTTGGCCACCCAAATGTGACTTCTTCAAGCACATTATCTGCAACAAAATACCTAGGTTGCAACACCATAATGTGTAGCACTTTAGAAATGACAATCCAACAAAAATGAAAAATGATCAACCAAGATTTACAGATGGCTAATACAAACATTTAGACAATTAAACACCGTACTACACCAAATAAAAGATCAGAGAAGGAACAATTTAGTGTCAGAGCCATATAAAAAAGTATTTAAATAGGGTAAATTTCCATGAATATTTTGGTAATAAAATAAACAAAACTATCCTTCAAGTTTAAAATGTTTCAATTAGAAGAGAGAACAGATGAAAGTTATCTCTAATGCTATAAAAGGTATTATGCTGCTGCTGCCAGTTTTTGGACAAGAGCCTAGAAAACATAGCTGCATAAATATCTTAGTTATTTACATCTTCGTGTTAGAAAGTGATATAATACATTTTTCTGCATCAACAAAAATATTTATTATTTCAAAGACAACAGGACGATGATGAGCCTGTAAGTCACCAATATTGCTACCTTGTGATCTGGGGTCATGAATCTATGAAAAAATAGATTAACTGAAATATGATTTTTTATTATATCAATACAAAAAGATGATATAAGATATATACAGGAGACCTAAGCTATTTTAGGAAACATAATAACTCTATTTTATGCTAGGATCCCTTGATTTATGAGATTGTTTCTAATTATTCAAATCTGTACAGATTACAAAGAAATATACAAATTTCCTGATTTATTCTTTCCTAAAATACTATTTGATTTCCCACACTCCCCCTCAAGCTGGTGAATAGATGTTTTCCATTCCCAGCTTGGATACAATCTTCTCAAAATTATGACAGCCCAGTCTCTTGGTAAGAATGTCTGCAATTTGGTCTTGAGAGGACACATATGGAGTGCATATCAAGCCACTATCAAGCTTTTCTTTGATGAAGTGTCTGTCTACTTCAATATGCTTTGTTCTATCATGCTGCACTGGGTTGTGGGCTATACTGATTGCTGACTTATTATCACAATAGAGCTTCATAGGTTCTTCCCAATTTATCCTCAAGTCTTCTAAGATGATTTTAAGCCATAGCAACTCACATAACATAAACTTGTCCTCCTTTCCTTGAGGAGCCTCCTTTGTGTTTAAAGGCTTCTCGATCTCGGTTTAAAGGCTTCCCATGTAACTTCCAACACTTCTCTCGGGTATGACGAGGTTTATTGCAGTAGGTACACCAGAGACCATCACCTTTATTCTCCACATTTGCTGATCCTTTCTTCTGTTCGGTTACCATGGCCAAAGTCTGATCTCCTTTATGGTCCAGTGCTGAGTTCTCTACTGCTGGACTCTCTAACATGAGACCCCTTCTACTTTCTTCACTTCTCCCAATAGCCACCACTTCATTGAGGCATGGTACCTTTTTCTTCCCCAATATTTGAATCCTAACTTGATCAAATTCAGGATTCAAACCAACAAGGAAATCATAAACTTTGTCTTGTTCGATATACTCCTTGAGAAGTGCTGAATCTTCAGTACATTTGGCTTTTATGACTCTATAATGGTCTAGCTCCATCCACAATGATTTCAGCTGATTGGCATATTCTGTAACAGTCTTGTTCCCTTGTTTTGTTGCCAAAGTTTTCACCTTTACTTCATATACTTGAGCAGCATCTTTGGCTTTAGAGTAGATTTGCTCTACAGCATCCCAAATATCTTTTGCCGAATTAAGGAACATGCAGGTGTCGCTGATTTCTGGAATCATTGAATTCCACAGCCACGCCATGATCATTGAATCTTCTTCATCCCATGTAGTAAACTTGGGATCCTCCAGCTTAGGTCCAGACTCCATCAGGTGACTCAACTTCCCCTTTCCCTTCAACACTGTACGAACAAGTTGGGCCCACTTCAAATAATTTCTTCCATTTAGTCTATATGCAGAATGAATATTCTGCAGTGCTCCAGATTGCTGGGATTGGGTATTCCCTGTTTCTGGGTTTGGATTCACAACTTCCTCTTCCCTTGACATCATAGCAAGGAGGTGTGATGCAACAGTAATGCAGGCTGTCGTCTTAGGATTAAGAAAAATGCAGCAGTAATGCAGGCTGTCGTCTTAGGGTTAAGAAAAATGCAGCAGCAATACAGGCTGTCGTCTTAGGGTTAAGAAAAATGCAGCAGCAATGTAGCTCTGATACCATGTTAAGGTTCCAACATAAAACCAATTGGTTATATATGGAGTAGCCTAATATGTATTTAAACCATACCAAATGATATGAGGTAGGCGATGTGAGACTTTCAACACACCCCCTCCAACGAAGCCTGCCGGACCAGGCAAAGGGTACTTTTGACCTAACTAAAGGGCAACTTTTGGCCCATGACAATAACCGGAAAGATGTTACGCTTTGGCTCTGATACCATCTGGAAAAATAGATTAACTGAAATATGATTTTTTATTATATCAATACAAAAAGATGATATAAGATATATACAGGAGACCTAAGCTATTTTAGGAAATATAATAACTCTATTTTATGCTAGGATCCCTTGATTTATGGGATTGTTTCTAATTATTCAAATCTGTACAGATTACAAGGAAATATACAAATTTCCTGATTTATTCTTTCCTAAAATACTATTTGATTTCCCACAGAATCAATGGTTCTTCTAATCACAAAAAAGCCTCTCTGTCCATAGGGTTAAAGGTTATATATTGACCCTCAACAAGTTTCACCATCGTTGGAGCCCCATGATTGGACAACCCATTTATCAAGACAAAGAATAAAGCAAAGACATGGATGATAAGAAATTCCTCATAACAAAACACAGAAGGACACAGTGATAGTAAGTAAAATATATAACTGAAAGGAACTCCATTCCCTCTACAAATTTGACAAAAAAGTTCATGGAAAATTCATGTGCTAAACACCAATAAGAAACTTGAAAAACATCTCTATCTCATAACAAAGGCAGACAAACTAGTCTTCAAAACAAGAAGATAAGTCCCTCTTTGGTCCTTCTTTCTTAATACTCAAAATAATTAGCAGAAATTGAACAAGACTCGAGGGAACAATCATATTTCATCAAAAACACAGATTTTTTTCCAGACAGATACACATTCATCAATAAAAAAAAATGGTTTTGGTACTCATTTTGACATGATTTGTTTTTTTTCTTTTGGAATTTGGTCATCAACACATCCATGTTTAAGCTTCATTGTTTCCTGTTTCTGTGTCTATGCTTCTATGATTAAGCCACAAGAAATTTGTGGTATCCCAAGTGTAAAACTATAATTTTTCTTTTAGTTTTCAGCATTCTCCTATCATTTTCTTGAAACTGAGTGGTTTGAAGTGAAGGACGAACTTTCATCAACAGAATTTCTAAGTAGATCTCCAACAAAATGCAATATATAAATAACTCGAGTATAGTACACTTGTTGGAATGCAACATTTTGATTTTATCCATTTAACAACATTCTAAGCCTCAATTATAGTAATTTGAGTAGCAAATGACGGATTAAACCACCACAAAAACACAACTTCAATAATAACACGGTCAAAAACAAAAATCCACCAAAGGACTGAAAAACCAAAACCACACAGGCTTGCACAGAGCAGCAACAAGCAGCAATTTCTAACATAGATCACTAAGGGACAACATCATCCAACTCACAAAGCTTCTTGCTTTTCTTAGCCTTTACATTTTTCATAACCTTCACAACTTTTTGCAGCCTTCACCTTTACAGCCTCTTTCTTCTTTTTCTTCACGCCCAATTACTCACCGTTAGCAACCAATTCACTTCCACTCAAACAACATATTTGACATTTTTGTCAAGATTTACAACATAAGGTTATATATAACAAATGCAAGCCAGGGAGAAACAAAATCTCTTACTATATTCAATACGTTTATATTATACCTCTCTGGAAACTGGAAGACAATACCAACCCTTTCTGGCACCAAGGGCTCTGGAGGTTGACTAGGACTTCCATCATTCCCATACTTTTGTATGTAAATAGATCCTGAGGTTGGTTTGCTTATTCCTGCAAGAAGCTAAATAGAGAAATGCAACGCCATTCGATGAGCTATGACAATTATCCAACTAGAAAAAGCAGCATGAACAAATGTTCAAGAAAACCAGATTCATTAAAGGGGTAAAAAGTAAGACCTGCAACAGGGTTGTTTTTCCACTTCCACTCTGTCCGAAAATTAGACCAAAACTGTAGCAATTGAGAGAAATAAGCTGCCACATAATAGGAAAAAAAAAACACTTGGAAGACGCATTATTGACAACTTTCATACTCAGGACAATCATGTCAATATTTTGAAGTTATATACTATGAAACACATACAAAAAATTACGCACCTTTTCTCTGGAAGTGAAAAACTAACTGAATTTAGAAGTTTAAGCTGAGTACCCGGGGGTTGATAGCTAACTTCTCTAACCTTAAGCAAAAATATTACAGTTTTTCAGTACGTAAATTCCAGCATTTCCACCGTAATGTCCCAATCCATCCCATGCACAATAACAAATTCCAATACATCAAATGAAAAAGAAAATAAAGAAAATGTTTATTCCAAGGTATTTTAGGCTCTCCAAATTCAATCCAAACATGCACTGTATCTTTATTAAAATTAAGTTTCACAAGAGACAAAATCAACTCTGGTTATTGGAAGGTAAAATTGAAATGGTTAGTGGTAAAGTGTAACTGGAGAAGAGCATACTTCGAAAGAGGATTGGCTACAATTGATTCTGGGAAGCTGAATGGTTGGGAACTTGAACCTGCAATCAAGAATATGGTTCAGTGAGGATTAGTTGGAACAAAATGCAATTGACAAAAAGGAAAGAGAGGGAGAAGCATACGATGTGGAAGCAGAGGAAAGCTGCGGCGGTGGTAGGAGGAAGCGCAACCCAATCGGTGGTTTTAAGGCGTTAGTCATAGCCGGTGGCTGCCGGAACAACTTCCGTCACGAGATACTATTAAGGAAAAAGGCCTCCACGGGTAAGAATTTTTTTTATATTATAATTTCCTAATGTTTATCCTTTCCATTGTATGAGATATTGATAATGATAAATACTAAATTTATTCTATTTTATTATTAATTTTATATATCACATTTTTAATTGATATATTATTTAAAATATCTAGTTTATTATTTCAAATTATATATGAAAATATTGACCTAAATAGTAATAATCTTTTACATCATTCTTCTATCTCTATTTCTAAATTACATTTCAATAATAATTCTCTAGAGAAATTGCTACAGTAAAAAATAATTTTGTATAAAATTTAAATTAATTATTATAATAATATTTACATATTAAAAGATATTTATAATTCAAACCTCAATTATAATTTAATTATATAAAAGAATATTTATTTTATATATAATTATATATAAAATAAATTTTTTTCATAACTAATCAAAGAAAAAAATGTCACAATCTAAAAAAATGTATTATAATTTATAGATTAAAATATAATAAAAAATAATAAAGAAAAATGGATGCATTTAAAAAATAAAAAATAAATATTTAAAAAGGTTAATTATACAATTGCATGATTCCATTGGTGCAATCTAAAAGTTATAATATTAAGAATTGATATAAAATAACTAATCTTATATATTCAATCAACTGATCTTGCATTTGAATAAAGAATTTGTATGAAATAAATAATTTTAAAAAAGTATTTAAAATATTTCTTCCTAAATTTGGTTATTTTAGATAGAAAATTATAAAAATTAATAAAAATAATTTGATTATTTTGAAATTCTCTATTTTTTTATTCAATTTTATTTGAAATATTTTTTACTCATCTTTATCTATTTTAATATGGGTGAATACAACCCTTAAATTAGCATGATTTAACTCAAGTTTGATCGATCTTAATTTAGTTTGAACGAACCTAACATGTTTTTACCATTATTTCAACTTAATTGTTCTTTATCTTATTCAACTTATATTATCTTGATACAACTTATCTCAATTTGGTCTAATTCATCTCTTGACATGAATTATCCTAACCTAACTCAATCCTTCTTAATCAAGTTCAACCCAATTAGTCAAAGTAGACTAGTTCATTCCAGTACAACGTATTCTAATTTGACTCATTTTAATTTGACACAATTCATCTTAATCTTACTCATTTTAACCTGACACATATTGTCTTACCTTAATTAAATCTATCTAATTTTGGAATGTTATATTTTCTTACCACCTAATCTAACATAATTCAACTCATCTCACGATCACATTCAATCTAGGGATGGCAAAACGGTCGACCGCTCGTTTTGGCCGCCAGCCTTTAGCCTGCCAAAAGTGGGCGAAGCGTCAGCTCGATATAGTCATGACGGTCGTAGACCTTGACCGCCCGCCAAGGGACTGGTTATGGTCATGGCAGGCTTGACATCATAATTTAGAAAAAAATAATTATTTTTAAAATATATTTTTTAATAAATTTAATAATAAAATTATTATTTATTTGTCAATAATTCAATATATATATATATATATATATTATTTTAATTTAATAATATAAATCAATACATTATTTTAAGAAATTATAATTTAGAACAATAATAAAATTTACATAATAATAAATAATAACAAATATATATATATATATATATATATATATATATATAACGTTAAACTTATAAAATTTATATTTTTTATATTGAAAAATTCAAATACTTATATCTTTTTTATTTGATAAAACTTCATATTATTCTTGGTTGAGTAATTCTTACACCTTTAATTCAAGTAATAAGGATAAAAATAATCGAGTCTTAGGATAAATAAGGAGAACAAGAGAGAAGGTTATATTTCAGGAAGAAGAATATTTTTTGTGAGAATGAAACTTTTTAAATTCTTTTTTTAAAATTTTTAACGCTATATATTATCTTTGTAATTAATTTTATTACAATAAAAAAATATTTTTTTATTAATTAGGCGGGTCATGGTTGGCTCGCCTCGTCTCACGAGTTGGCTCGACGGGTTAGCGAGCTTAGCGGCAGGCCAAAGCGGCCAGTGGGCTGAAAACACCAACCCGCCCAGCCATATTATAGCGGGCTGGCGGGCCGCCCGCCGGGCCTAACCCGTTTTGCCATCCCTAATTCAATCTAACCTAACTTAACTTAATTCAACGTCCTAATCTAATACAATTTGTTCTGATTGAGTTTTATCCTACTGATTTAGTTTATTTCGATGTCATTTGACTTAATCTAATCTATTAATAAAGATTAAGTATTATAAGATAAATCTAATTTATTATATAATAATGATAATTTTTTATAATATTTATATTTGATAATAATTAAAAAACTTTATGTAAACAAGAAAATTATATTTCAATAAATTTGAATAAATCACTTTAAATGAAAAAAAAATTAGTGTAACTGAATTTCTTATAAATTAAGAAATACTTTATCTAAAACATTATTATTATTATTATTATTATTATTATTATTATATTTTTTAGAAACTAATTATATATTATTTAATTAAGATTAGTATAATAATAAAATATTTTAATTTCTTAATAACTTAATTTAATATATATATATATATATATATATATATATATATATATATATTTTTTTAATGTTATTCCAGTACATGTCTTACCTTTTGATTTATTCATGGAATTTTTCTTACTGTTGTATGTAAATATATGACCTATATTAATAAATGTTATCATAACACATGGATTTTCACTTGATAAAGATCTAAGAATCAAAGTTCGACCTTTTCAACAAAATCTGTCAATCAAAGTTGCACAAAGCATAAAATCAATCTGTAGCTTACCAATCTCATATTTTTCTTACATGCTTCCAAAAATGATAGCTGAGTCATGTGCAAATTCAGAAAACATGCTTTCATCTTCTTACCACAATCTTCAAAATTCTGGAACCATAGATTAAAGTCTTTACTGATGATGACTTCTGGATTGGTCAACGCATGATATTCCTTTTGATCTTTAAAACAATGTCTTTATTACTTCTAACTTTTTCTTCAAATTCAAGATCTATGGAACCCATGGTGTAGTGTAGAGTTCCTTCCTTCCTTCCTTCCTTCCATCAATGGAATATTTTTGTCTCAGCAGCAGTCACTACATTTGAGATATGTTGCAGAGAAGGTAATAATTTCAAATAATATTTTAAAAAACATTTATTAAAGATGGATTATATTCTACCGACGTCAGTGCTTACACATTGGTATGATATGAGATCGCTTTCCTTGACTTATAAAAATTTGAGAGATGTAAAATAAAATATTAATAATATTAAAAGAAATTCATGAGATCATCAATAGCTACGTACCCGCGCAGTTTGTGCGAAAATACATGTAGCCACGGAAGGACACCCAACTTTCTTTTACTTTCCTGGTCAAATTTTGATGATCCCCAATTCAACTTGATGCTTAAAAATTAATTAATTCCATGTTTTGATAATATCGATGCATTCATGAATCAACAAAATAATTATGACTAAACTTAACCTGCAAAATGAACGGAGTTTTAAGATAGAAAGAGGCCTATCACCGTTAGGGTTTGGTCCTTATTACTTAAGTAAATAGCTATATTTTTTTAGTGTGAATATAATTATTAATATATAATAGAGGTTAGTTCTGATTATTTTATTTTATGAATTAATAAAAGTCTTAATTGCTGCTGTGACATTTTAAGCAATCAGAGGATTCTTCGCTCATTAAATATTTTACATGTTCTATTAATGGTATGTAATCAAGTGATTATTATCAGGTCATTTTGAATATAAAATAAATTATATTAGAAAAAAACGTGGTCTCTAATCATATTAATTATTTTTTTATGATGAATATTTGTATCAATACTAAAAAAAAATATTATGTTGAATGACTTTCTAATCATATTCTTTATATATATATATATATATATATATATATATATATATATATATATATATATATATATATATATATATATATATATATATAAACATGAGAACATTCATCCTTCATGTTTATTATAATAAAATAAAAATTGTAAATATAACCCTTTAAAATTTATCATATAAAACTTTTTAAATACAATATATTAAATTATAATATTTTTGAATAATTTGAATAATTTTATAATATATTATTAAAAATAAATATATAAAATATTATTTAAATTATTAATAAATATATAAGAATTAGTAAATATATAATATTATTAGTTAATTAATAAAAATAATTATAAATAAAATATATATAATAAATAAATAAAAATTATTAGTTAATTAATAAAAAATTTAAAACTTAATTAAAAAAATAGGAAGCTTATCTCTTTAAGAGATAAGCACGTATTTAATGGAAAAAAAAAGTAAATAAAATATAAGAATAAATGTATGTGAGGGACGAGAGGAAATTTAGTGGAAAGAATAGATAAAGAAAAGAGAAAAGAGAAAGAAAAAAAAAAAAAGAGGAAGCAAAAAATACAATTAATCTAGTTAAAATTTTAGTATATAATCTATAATTATTAAGTTAGTAAAAAAAATATTTATTATTTTATTTATTTTAATTTTAATTAAGGTTGTTAAGTGATCTGTCTCTAATTATGTTTCATTTTTTTTTCTAATTATACATCCGAATTATTTATTTCATATACGCATATATCTTCTCTTATATATTTATTTATCCCTGGTCATGTACTTGATCATATTTTCTTTATCTTCGATTACACATTGATTATATTTTATATTTATTTATCTTCAGTTATGCACTAGTTTTATTAATTTATATTTATATTATTAGATTGTTGTTTAAATTTTTTTAAACAATAAAATATTTTATTTATGAATATTTGATGATATTGTAGATAAAAGTTAGACCTTGAGGATTGAAATGAGTAAATATTAGTTAAAGAGTGATTAATTTTAGGTTAATTTATTTTTACTAGTCACTACAAAAT